CGTGCTCTAACTGGTTCAACAACTTCATCATCGTAAGTGTTCCTTTCGTCTTTACTGTCTGTGGCTAGCGACTGACCTGTATACCAGGGGTTGATCACTCCTCCTCTTGTTCAAAACACCGGCTACGGAGCCTACACCTTCTTCGCCGTCTTTTGTGGACTCGCCTTTGTTTTCACATTCTTCGTAGTCCCGGAGACATCTGGCAAGACTTTGGAGGAGATGGACCAGGTTTTCAAGGATGTCAGCAGTGAGGCGGAAGAGCAACAGAAGGCGCGCATCATGCGCGACATCATCGCAGGCAAACAAAACGAGACTGTCACTACAACCGCAGTCCCTTGAAGCAGGACAATTGCTCAGCAAGGGGGCCAGTACATTTGTAACTAGCGAGACAATTATTCAGTTTATTCTTATCACGGCTTCGCGCACTACGATTGAAATTTGAATGATGCAATCGATCGAAGGACTGGGCTTACGATGCGCAGTCTCATAGTGCACGATGAGCGGGTCGCTCCTGCTCGCCTCCGGTGAAAGACGTTGTGTACATGCGACGTACGTGCAACGCAAACTTCTTGGCTAGCTACCCCGTATCATGGTGATCGTTTGATTGCGTATCGTATTGTAACGATGACCACGCAACGTCGCGATGGATGTAAAGATGCGATTCGATTGCGCCCGGTTTGCCTACTTGAGAATACGAATTCCCGTCCGACGAGATCTGGTAATGGATATCTAGACGTTGTGATCAGCGTTACATATTAGGGGAAATGTAGTGCACATCAAAGACATGCTTTAGCATGTGCATCTCATGCTAGTTGCGAAAGAGATGTTTGTCAGGAGCAATCTTGTATTTGACGCCTGAAGCCATATGCTGCCTACCTAGGTAGGTACGCCAAAGCTGAGCTGCTTTCAAAAGCATCGCGTAAAGAACACCTGGAATGTAAAAGCGCACGCCACCAGATTGACAGGTGTACGCGTGCGTTGCTGTTCAAACATCTCGCCGAGTTGTGCGTCGAGCTCCATACTCCCTGTGACGTAAGAAGATTGCCTTCAAAAGGAGCTCCGCGGGAGAGAGCGCATCACCGCTCTGCCCCAGAAAACAAGTACGGCATTGCCATCTTCTACTTTCCAACCGTCAACGCCCCGTTTTTCCGTCATCTTGCTCGTGCCATCATTTCACTCCCAGATCCTCAATGGCCGATTATCTCCACGTTCTGCGCCAAAATGCGAGGTTTCCCATCGCCAAACTTTTGCAGCTGGGCCGTTAGGGTTTCCCAACTTTCGCCCCGCGCCACCCTTCCCAGTACAGCATCATGACCTGACTGGCTCCAAGGCCGCGATAATTCCGTAGAACTGCGTGTTGGTTGTCCCAGCACCGATTCCAATGCAAGGTGTGCATAACACACGGCCTCGTTCGCATCGCCTGGTATGCCTATATCGTCGAATGGCTTTGTGATCACGCTCTCGGGGAGCTCCGCTTCGAGGTAGTCTATGATGTTCGCGTTGCGCGCACTCGGGCCGCTGATGAAGAGTTCGTCGACGTCCTGGCCGGCAGGAAAGCGGAGCGCGAGGAGCCTGCGATACTGCTTCAAGATATTCTCGGCCGTTATACGGGTAACGGTAGCGATTATGTCTGCTTCAGAGAGTTTCATGAAGATGCACTCATCAACGACTCGTTGGGCTTCATGTTCACCAAACATATCCCGGGCTATGCTTAAAGAAGGCAAGACGCGAGAGTAATCATGCGTCTGGAGGAACCGTGTGACGATAGCTTGATTGGGCTTCCCCGGCGCTGCATACTCCCCGTCGTTGTCATTGTTCCGATCGTTTGAAGTGCAGTACTTCATGGCGTAGTCAATGAACACGCTTCCAGGCCCGCAGTCGCGACAATTTGTCCCTCGAGCATCTCCCTTCGACTGAGGAGGAATGAAGCTACAATTCGCAAGCTCGCCAATGTTCAGACAAGCTCGAAACTTAGAAGAGTGTCTCAAGAAGAGTTGATCAATGTAGGCGACGGGGGAAACTTGAGGTCTCAAAGACCCAGCTTCAATGACAGCAAAGTCGAAGACAGTGTTGACACCAATCTCAGTGTTTATATTGGCGTTCCATCCCAGCGGGTGCGTGCTCAGGTCGTTTGTTTCAGGCATGTCAGGTCGCCTCAAGCCCGATGTGTGTGTGCCGACCAGGTTTATGGATGCGAGTGGTATGCAATGCTTCTCACAGAAAGTGGTAATGCCATTGGAGAACAAGTAACCGAGCAGCGCGTTGAGGCGTGTCGCTAGTGAGGAGTTGCGCTCAACTTCGCGGATGGAAGTGAGGATGTGGTTTCGAACAGGAGGTGAGGTAGGTAGCGAACCGCACTATCGTTCGTCAGCATTTGCAGGGCGACAGTATGAACAACACTAACTTGGATGAGTTCTAGATACAGCGTAGCACTAGGGGAGGCTTGCAGATACCGGACCAGCGCGAAGTCAAGCTGGTTTAACCCACTTCCGCAACAGACCCCTAGAATGCGGAGGTCCAATGCACTCTTCATGGTCTCTCTCGTATGAACTTGTAGGCTTCCATGGTCTGTTGCTGAGTCGTTGCGACGCATACTAAGCTTGACTGTTGTTCAATCAAGAAGTACACATGAGTGCTTCACATCCGGAGGCGAAGATTATCAAATGGTAGAGGCCCGGAGGTACCTAGGCAAGGGGGGACTTGTCCAGTGGCGTTCGACTGAGGCGTCACCCAAGGCATCTCGGGTTATCGCCCCATAAGGGGCTTTGCAGAGAGAAATGCATGCTAAAGGTACGCTGTGGGGTGGATGGGTATCCGTGTCGCGCTATGCAGATCTCAACGGACCCGATGAGGACTTGATGTACCAAGACTCCCGTGACCGGACTCTGGCACCTCGTTACGACTTACGCGAAGGGATTGGCCCGGGACAGATATCCGGCCGTGAAATGACGTAGCTGCTCAACGGTCATCCCTTCAACATATCAAGTCAGCAACCAGGCACATGCTAATCAACTTCGCACGGGAAGATGCGCTTTGTGTTCTTCATTGCCGGTCTGCTACATACCTAGCGATTGATGGAATGCAGGTATAACGCGTTGTACAAGGCCATATGCATCACAGTAATATCTAGGTGATACTCACGTAGCGCTCCCAGACGTGCAATAAGCGACCGCAGCTGCCGGATATCGGTGCTTTGTTGCGAGGCTTTCGGATGCAAAAAGAGCTTCTCGTCTTGGCTTCAGCCAGCTGCCTTACGGTCAAACTGGTGGTGGCATGTGGGACGAAATGCGAGCATCTGTTGAATATCCAAGATCGACAAGACGCGTACTATGGCAAACAGTACGATTTATGATACTACAAGGGGTGCTCTAGCAAGGTTTCAACACAGGTATCGTGATCAAGCGCGTAATCACGGTAACTCAGGCAGCAGCGTACGAAACGGGTAGTTTAGTGATCTAGATGTGCTGCGCCACACACGACTTTCAGCTTGCTTCACTAATAGATTCCACATCCTTCTGGCCACCGGCCACGGGTACATGCGTACAGCTCAGGCAATCTTCGGTGAACCGAGCCGAACAATGCAGCCCTGGATGTGAGATTATCTGAAAGAATTCATTGGGGCGAATGATTGCACGTGAAAACAGAGATCAGCACACGAGAAAGTACTATTTCCAAGAGAGGCATTGTTACTGTATAGTAAGATGTAGCTGTGACATTATATGGATTCCACTCGGAGTTGTTACCCGAGCTCCCAATCCTCGGAAGGTATATCTTCCCGGATTGCACAAGTTCGGTTGACTGCTGGAAGCTCCCGGGTTGAGAGACATCCATGTTCTCGCATGATAATGGGAGTTCTGCGTCGAGTTCTAGAGCTACATGAAGGGGACAAAGTGACGGGATACAGGCAGCTGACCATGGCGTCCAAAGCTGGTATGGATTATACCAGAATGATTCGCGGGTATGACTTAGACACGACGGTACTGGCTTCCAGACACTGAGCGCTTTGTTTTGCACAATAAATGTCTTGTATGGGTTTCATCATCTTTCACATCCACCTTCTTCTTGTGGTCCTATTCCACAACCGACCCAAGCTGGTTTTGGGTAGGCCAAGAGTCAATGCCGGCTCGAGTTTCTACTTCATGAGCTAAGCCACAGGAGCTGACGATGTTGGGATACCCCATTCGGCCTTCAATGCGTTACTGATCCACGTCGTCGGCCACACATGGTTTTTCTCGAAGTTGTTTAAAAGCTGTACTACCTGATCTCTCTCTTTTGGGTCGCATACAAGAGGTCCCCAGATAAAGATGGTGTGACAGACGGTGATTGCTAGTGGGACAGTCTCCGGTGAGCTATTACTAGCCCCGGAAATGGCGCGAGCATGCGTCAAGATCTGATTCTACTTCAATAAGCAAATGTTCGTGCTGTTTGGTAACTTTGGTCCTTACATCTGTTTCAGACAGGCTGCCGACGTTGCGGATTGCGAACTTGGGGCCTGGCTTGTATCGAAGCAACATGATACAGGCAAAATGATAGAACCCAAACGATACAGCTGATGGTAGTGTGAGCATTTGCGTGGAAGGACATGTTAGATAACTTACCGTGCCAGTCGGCTGTGAAGAGAATCTCAGGAAAGCAGCCCCCATCGCCGGCTGGGCCTTCGAAAATTGCATTGAAGCCGTCCGGTCTACCATGCATCCACGTCTGGACAAGATCCCACAGCTCGTTCCATCGCCGCATCTTGTAAGCCTTTTCGTTTTGTGGCTCCTTGCCGTCGAAGCAGAAGTTGACGACACATGCAAGATTCCAAGTCATTTGATTGGACCAGGCCGTCTCCAGTCTTAGTCGAGCCAGCGGGTGCGCATCTCGTAGTGAGCTTGGGGTTGGGTGTAGCTGCAAAGAAAAATCGATATCAGGGGGTTGCTGATTGATAGTGGCATTGTAGAGGCACTGGCGGACATAGACCCAAAAAGCAGCTTCGCGCAACGTGGGCGCTGATGGATCTACATAGTGATTTCCCTGAGAAGATCGAATAATGGCCGAACAGCCTGCGAGGTGCTGTTCATCATCAGAACCGGTACTGGACGGGACTAGAAGGACTTGTTAGGCATGAGAGACGCAATGCATACTATAGTACGCACCATTTAGCTGCTCGTAGAACCGCAGTATGACGATCGCACACAAAAGCGTTTCGTCGTGGCTAGCAGCTTGCTCATTCAATCGTTCGATGAGCAGGGCGATGCAACGCTGATAGGCCGCCTCGGCTGTCGCGTCTTTTCTGCAGTGGCGAGCAGCAAATGACATGACGGCATGGCAAAGTACCGGGCATTGTTTGACCTTCTCCGGTACGCCCAGCGTAAATTGACGAGTGGCGTCGGTGCAGTCAAGCCAGCGGCCAAGATGTTCGGTGTAGTGGTGCACGAGCAAGGCCTCTTCATGCGTCAAAGGAACAGGCCGGGGTGAGTAGTTTCTAGTTCCATCTGGCATGTCTCTACGGTTATGCGAATGCGCATTCGGCTGCTGCATGGCCTGGCGGGTATGCATCGGCAGCGAGCCCTCTGGCATGCCGTCCGGGTCGTGCGACTGCAGCAAACTCGCCACCGACACGCCACCCGTTGTGCTCTTAGATCGGGGAACAAAGTAAGGCGAGCCTGGCGATAGCTGAGCCGACGGTGAGGAGACGCTGGTCGATGGGCCTTCCGATGTCCCATCGGTCCGACTGTTTTTCCGCCTTCTCGGTGAAGTGTTCCGGCTCAAGCCTTCCTCGCTGAAACTGTTTGCACGAACGGCTCCTTCTGTTCGACTGATGTTATCGACCCCATCGACACCGTCAACATCCATCAGGTCCTCTTTGGTCTCGGTTTCCTCATCAGTACCGCCGGCAGCAGATCGACTGGAAGAGGGCCCGTCAGGCCGGTAGTCCTTGAACTTAGTATGAGGCTCCTCCCACTGACAGGGACGGTTTTTCTTGCCGCATGCTTTGCATACTGGACGGGTCTCGTCACCTGGGAGGACTATCAGTACGGCAAGGAGTGCCTGGAAGCAGGACACTGACATTTGACGCGGCGCGCTCGACATGTAAGGCTTGTGCAGATCAGCGGACTTTGTCGCCGCAACCTCATGGATCCACTTACCAGCCGCTCCTAGAGCGGAATTTACTGTATGAAGTCAGTAATACGTTTCATGTGTAGGCTGGGAACCGGAGTTACCCCATGTATAGGAAATCCAAATCCCAGGTTCGAATCGAAGTGTACCTGTCGCCGTATTAGCTAGTGGGGATGTGCCCTTCGCCTCGAGCCCGATCCCTCGACGATGGCGCTCGTCATGAATCGACAAAATGGCTAATATCGGAAGTGCGTACCACAACTACGTAATTGTGTCGTTTCAGGGACCCTTCGGACGACTTCTGGAGTTTGCGCGTAGCCTTTACCGAAGCAGTGACATCTGTAGGATCCTCTCGGCAATCTTGGACAGAAATCAAGAGCGCTCAAGCAGGGCACGTGGAAGCGAGGCAGGTGTGGGCTAGATATGCTACGGAGTCGCAGGCTGTTCAACTCTCCGACGTAGTCTTGATAACATTAGTCATTTGCCAGAGTATATGCTTTACCCTCTGACGCGCTGAAAAGGGGAGTTGAGCGTATAACTCACCCGTCGAAAACGTTCGATGGCCGGTCTGTCGGTCGATGCTGGGTGGATCGGGGTGCAACGTCACGCTGTTGCTCATAGACTAGACTGTGTATTGAAGATACGGCATTCGTGCAAAGCCCATGACTGCCTCGATGAAGGCCAATCTTCGATACTGGACCTCACCCGCTCAATGCTGGTGGCCCTTGCTAGGTGAAAGTTGGCTGCGGGAAAAGATCCCGCAGCCAGTCAGAGCCCGTAGAAGGGCGGCGCTCGGATCCCAAACCCTCTCCAGGTGCTTAGGTAAGTGGGTATCGGGTGCTGAGACTTTGCTATGCACCCAGTGTCTTGTGTGCCCCGTACGCAGGGCCGCATCTGCCCAAAGATCTCGAGGATCAGCCCAGTCCCGCCAGTCTATCGGTCAAATACTCTGACAACTGGCCGCCGGATGTGATTCTAGTCCAAAAAGACTGATTCGTATCGAGGTCTCGAGCAGGTCAAATAGCTACCTGAGGAAGCTCATCAGCACGAAGGCTGCTGTATTTCTTGAACTACCAGTACTACTCTTCAGCTGTACTGGGTCGCGATCCACAGCAAGCGCAGACTGCATCCGCATCGGGGCTGCTGACCTACCTCTCGAACTGCATCGCCAAGAGTTGCTCAGATTAGCATAGTTCAGAACCTCGTTTCGACGTTGGAAACCAGAGCCTTCGCACCCTGACGAGACTGCCATCCTCAACGCTCGTGTTGTCTTGCCGTCCACGCGTGCGCCCACGAACTCCCCGATCACACGAATCCGTCCTAGCCGAGACCATCCACACACCCTGCCCGCTGGCAACACTCCTTAGCCGTACCTGCAATGACCAACTATCGCAAGCACCGGGCCAGACGTGGCACCCAACGAATTTCCGAGAGAGAACAGCCGGACCATACACTCAAGACCGACTGACAGGAGTTCCGCAAGCAGTGAAAGCGTGCGACACCACAGTAACACTGCTTAGCGTGAGCTTCGCAGGCCGAGAATACGTACGAATCTCGACGGTGAACCGAATGCATGAAATGTGGGCGGATCCCTTGGTAGAGGACCCTGTACCGTTGAGCCTTTGCAGTTGCGTCCCCGCACACTCAGAAATGACTTGGAAACCCCGGAGCCGGATCATGGAGCGCGCGGAAGGTGAGATGCCAGCAAAGGTGCCAGCTCAGGCCGAGCCTGATAATGGAGATTCGGCATCGCAGCCACATTTCACAAGCGCAGGCGCCATCCAGCTGATATTTCCTATTATCTCACGGTCACAGATTTGCTTCTGCACTTCATCTGCGGACGCCACCGGCGCGATCTGGACACCCGCTGTCGTCGAGGGTCCCAAGTTCCTACGAGCACCTTTCAAAGCCAGATTCGCCAACTGCGTACCACGGCTTACGAGCAGCAGTCCACCGACTGACGAAACGGCAGCAACTTCACGAACACTGAACCGTCGCGATCGTACCCATTCTTAGAACCCGATTCACGTACACGGCCGAATTCGATCTGCAGGATTACCATGTAAAAAGCCTACAAATCCTTGTTTGGTGACCGCGCTTGCATATTGTAGGTGTTAGCATACATCGCATCAGAAGATTCAGAACACTGCGGACGAGAGACATACCGACAAGCGCCATTACCGTTCCTGTCTATAAATGATTTGCAGACAGTCGATTCGTGATCGATGTTCATTGTGGCTGACGGCAAAAACACGCCAGCAGCTTCGTTGGGTGCGTTCAGTCAAAAAAGACGTAGCCAGGTATAATTAGAACATCTGCGGAGAGACGCTCGTAGGGACTTTGTGTCAGGAATGGAGTAGGAAAAAAAAATAAGGCGGCCGAATACAGCGCTACAAGCATAGCATATGCTCTGCAAGATTTTGAGCGCGTTACGTGTCTACGTAAGACTACATGCAGCTCATCGATCGCACAGCAGTAGACCATACACGGGTGCGGAAGGATCGGATTCTAGTTGCAAGATCGGGTTTTAGCGAAACCGCATGGACCATGATGGCATTTCTTAGCCACCACGCAGGCAGCCTTACACAACCGCTCGATACGCCCACTTATATCCGCAAGAGACTTTCGAAGACTGGCATGCGATGAACGGAGACGAATGCTTCGGGGCGAGATTGGTCCAGCGAAAGCATGCTCCGCGGACCAGTCGGTCCTACCACTGCCTCGCGCTAAGTACCACCCTGTGGTTTGTCAGTGGGGATAACTCCCCCGCGGGCCTCTTGCCACATGGATCCAGAGTATCGGATCAGCTCAAGTAGGTATGGCTGATCATAGCCTAAACGTAAATTCAACGTCCACCCATCAAGAGCAGATGAAGGGACGAGCGCTCATGTGAGGAGAAACTTTACAGCATCATACACGGACATTATTGCATCAGGGTGTGATCATCAGGGGACAGCAGAACCCATGTTGTAGTCTTTGGCGCTTAAAACGCGTTTTGTCGCGTGGATAGGCAGGCTTGTACGATTGTGGAAGCATTGGCAACGGCAACGTGAGCGTCAAGACCCGCTTGCCATGTGATTGTAATCCGCGACTGCACGTTGGGGTATGTTCTACACGCACAAAGTATTGTTTGCAGCAGTGTCATACTCCAGACTACTAATGATCAGCCAGTGTGCATGTGACGATGCGCCGATGAAGCCCAACCCTGCGGCTCAACTTCCCTCAACGGTCGCTCGCCTTTCCAATCAACGCCGCAGCGCGATAAGAAGATGCAACAGTCATGGCAGCTATCGAAAATATATGGGGAGGCTTCTTAGCCCTAAGCCATAACAGTTCCGTGATCATTTGACGGCCTAAGCGATGTATCGACGGGTGACCAGAGGCGTGAAGACTCGCAAGTCATTTGGTTAGTCCATTAGTCCTCAAGCAAGTATACTCTGTCAAGTCTGTCTTCCTTTGTCGTTCTCTTTCACCTTCACATTTCGACCCCCGCGTTCCACACCTCGAGTAGTACCCTAGAACGGGGATACTTGGGCCAATTACGAGACCGCACCCGCGCGCTCGCACACCGGCTCACTGCACCGAGTGACCACAGCAAACACGTTCTATCCTCGGCGGGTCCTCACCTCACTTTCCTCAGTCACGCTCACGCTCCGTTTGCATTGATCCGCTCCGGCCTGTGCTTCCCTTTTGTTTATTTCTTCTATTCTTTCTCCCCTCCCCACCTACTCTTGAACCCACACAAGAAAACACCGCTCCGACCATCGCCATGGCTGTGTTCAATCTCTTCAAGATGCTCGCTCTCCTCCTCATCAGCTTGGTCGCAATCACCTCCGCTTCACCCATCGCTGCTTCCACCGAAGTATCAACTGCTGGTCTCAACTGTCCGGCTTGCGTAACCTCGATTGGCAAAGTTTGCAAGGACAGGAAGCTCAGCGAGTACAAATGCGACACACTGTGGTGCCTCAGTCTGGTAAGTCTTCACCCGCCTTCTTGCTTGCATTGGCGAGCTGGGTTGAGCTGGGCGAAGGCGAGGTCTAACAGAATGTAGATGTGCCGACAGTGCAATCCACACTGTCCACCGATCGGGGATGCTGTCGCTGGACCCGTCGATGTCCCTACTGATGTCTCGGACACTGTCTCCACCAACACCTTGATCTCTGCCATTGACGCGGCCGTTGCCGACATCTCTTCTACCTCTGTGGCTCCAGCGGCTAAGCGCGACGACTCACTCGCCATTCCCGGTGATGATGTCTTTGCTGACGCTAATTGCTACCGATGTATATACATCAACCTGTTCTGCAAGCAAAACAACCTCACTGAAGAAGAATGTCTACCCATACGGTGCAATGATCCCGACGTAAGTCTCTATTCCGGTGCGCTATCTTCTGGATGGCGCGCCAACCTCTCATAGCCGTCTTGATTACGAGAGAAAATAGACTGACAGCCTCATAGTGCAACGTCTGCAGCCGTAGTTGCCACAAGACTCAGCAGGTCGATGCATCAGACCCCGCCACCATGGATGGTGTCGTTGCCGACATCTCTGCTACTTCTGTGGCTCCAGCGACTAAGCGCGAAGAAGCTGCACAGAAATGCGTCTGGATCTGCTTCCATGTGACGTGCACGCGCCAGTGTACCGACGTCGCTGGAGTAGCTGCCTATGCAGCCAGCGGCGCGATTGTCATCGACGAGACCGAGCTCCATGCCGACACGTCTGTCTCTGTCACTGCAAACCATACACAGCTGGAGAACAACGAGCATGTTGAGAATGCTTTCCTCTACCATTGCGACTTGACCTCTGGCAGTTGCTGGGCTGAGACCGTTGTTGAGCCAGTAGCTGGGACCGAAACCGCCATCGAGAACATTCCAGACATTCCACACAAGGTCTGCCGCGAGATTTGCAACACGGACAAGTCGCTCTGCGGACTGGTCTGTGATGAAGAAGCGAAGAAGGAGACTGTGGTCAACGACCCCGTTTCAAAGGCTAAGATCAAGTGCCACTGGGAGTGCTATTTCGGTCAGTGCTGGGCGGTCTGCATGCCCGACATGGGCGGCGCCGCCAGCGACTCCAGCGACGTATCATCCGCCAACGTAGCAACAAACTTCAAGCCATGTCGCTGGGAGTGCTACTTTGGTCAGTGCTGGACTTGCTGCCCTCCTCCTTGATCGCCTGTCCAGGTTCACTATTCGCGCTGCGCGATTTCCGTGGTAAGACATGAGTCTACACCCACTTTACAGGATACAACTGACCTCTACTAGAAGCTTGTTCTACACGGTACTTGAGACATGTAATGAATTGCAGGGACATTTCGGAAGCCTTTTACAAGTACGCTTGGGGTATAGATTAGATCTCGTCCATAGTAGCAATGGAACTCAGGCTTCACACCTCTGACTCGAGAATACAACATGATGGTGATGTGCAAGCCAGCTGGTTTCTGCCTCTTGATGTCCCTGATGCAACGGGATCGTTCATTGTACTGACTGAACAATCATAGCCAACGTTTCTCGTCTACCCTCTTTCCCATATGGTACAAGTTGTACTACAACATGATATATACATTCGTTTTTCACGCGACACAATCTCTCTCTTGCCCATGTTTACATGCCCCGCGCCTTCAGGAATGTAGCAATCTCGGCAGTGTGATGTCCCTTGACAATGACATGTTGTGTCACGCTGTTGATCTTGACGTCCTCGTTCTTTTTATTCAAGAAGACTCTCAGCTCGTCCCTCAAAGCAGATAGGTCGCCGGTGACCTTTCGTACCGTCGTCAGATGCAAGTTGCCTCCTCGCTTGTAGTCGGTGTAGATGGGCAGGTTCTTGTTCGCAGATCTCGAGACGGCGTACTTGGGCGGCGGTAGAGATAATTTGGGGGCGCGCGGCGTCTTTGGCTTCTTAGCGACCTTCTTCTGGAGCGTCGATGTTGTGTCGGCTGTGTCTGAGGGCGCGGTCGCGGGCTTGGGCGCGACGTCATCGGCCTTTGCGGGCTTCGCTTGCGAGGGTGTCTGTTCTGGCTTGTTGTCGGACCGGGGGTGCTTGGAGGGCAGTGTCGGCTTCTGCTCGGGCGGTTGCGCGCTGTCGCCTTCGGTGAGAGACTCTGCTGCGGCAAGGTCGGCGGCGCGTTGAGCTTCTTGGGGAGATGTCGGGTGTTGAGAAGAAGCGTTGGGTGGGAGGGATGGCTGAACGATGGGCTTGGAGTCTGGCGGGGGTTCTATGGAGCGTCAATTGGTGTACCTATTGTACTAGAAGAATGCACAGCTTACGCTCAGCCTGCCATCTTGTCGCTGTAGAGAAGCGGAAGTGCGGCCGGCATGCGATGGCTCTTGGGGCGGCCAATGGGCGCAGGAGCGGGACGAGAGACTGCAAGCGAGGCATTGTGGTGCAGCGATGCCGGTGAAAGTATTCTACCACGTGTCCAAGGGTCGAGGGATGTGTCGCGAGGGCCGTGGGGTGAATGCTGCGGCCATGGTCTGCGGCTCAACTCCAGAAGTAGCGCCTGGGGTCCCTCGCGCGCACAGTCCGGCTGCTTTTTTCGTTTCCGAGCCCACCCCACCACGCTCGACATCGCCATAACTCCTCCCACCACAACCACCCACCCACCATGGCGGACTCAGCGGCAACCGGCGCAAATGTCGCCGAGCAGTACTCGCTGCTCCCCAAGCTCATGCCCAACCTCGACCGCCATCTCGTCTACCCGCTCCTCAACTTCTCCAGCGATGAAGACGCCGACCAGACCGTCGAGCAGAAGAAGCTGCTGCTCGAACTGCTCAAGCCCACCAACATGACGGATTTCGTCGGCCAGCTGCACCAGGAGGTCCACGGCCTCGACGACATGTCCGACGAGTTCAAGACCAAGCGCGACGAGGTCCTCAAGAAGCGCGACCAGCTCGAGGAGGCCACCAGCAAGATCAGCGGCCTGCTCGACGACGAGAACGTCGTCACCAACCTGCGCAGCGACAAGCAGCAGAACTTGGCATACCTGAAGGAGAGCCACGGCGTCGACTTGGACATGATCAACCAGCTGCTCGAGTTTGGCCAGTTCCAGTACTCGTGCGGTGTCTACCCACACGCCGCTGAGCTGCTCTACCGCTTCCGCGTTCTGGTACGTTTATATGCAGCCCCACGGCATACTGGTTACTAACGTTAGCAGACCACCGACGGCGACAAGGAGCGCGAGGCCACCTGGGGAAAGCTCGCCTGCGAGATCCTCTCCGTCAACTGGGACTCGGCCATGGAGGAGATCAACAAGCTCAAGGAGATCATCGACACACGCCTCTTCAACAACCCCCTCGCACAGCTCCAGCACCGCACCTGGTTGATCCACTGGTCGCTCTTCCCCCTCTTCAACCACGAATCCTCGCGCGAAACCCTCACCGACATGTTCTTCTCCCCCGCCTACATCAACACCATCCAGACCAACTGCCCGTGGATCCTGCGCTACCTGGCCGCTGCCGTCATCACCGGCCGCAACCGTGGCAGGAACTCGAACCAGTACCAGAAGCAGCTCAAGGATCTCATCAGGATCGTGCGACAAGAAGGCTACGAGTACAACGACCCCGTCACCGACTTCATCAAGGCTCTGTACATCGACTTTGACTTTGAGGAGGCGCAGAAGAAGCTCAGCGAGACGGAGGAGATCTTGAAGAACGACTTCTTCTTGTTGGGCGCCGCAGACTTGTTTGTCGACTCAGCGAGACATCTCATCTCGGAGAGCTACTGCAAGATCCACCAGAGAATCGACATCAAGTGAGTCATTCTACATTTCTCGTCGCTTCCAAAACCGTACTAATTCACGACTAGGGATCTCTCGACCCGCCTCGGCCTTTCACAAGACGAGGGTGAGAAGTGGATCGTCAACCTCATCCGCGACACTCGCGTAGACGCAAAGATCGATTACCAAGCCGGCACAGTCGTCATGAACCACCCACCACAGTCCGTCTACCAACAAGTCATCGAGAGGACAAAGGGAGGCTTCTTCAGGACACAGGTCCTGAGCGCCGCTGTTGCGAAATGAGCGCGACACATTACAATCGGTCGACTCGTTCGTTGCATAATACGGGGGGAAGCTAACAGCTTCTGGGGAGGCGGGGAGACTATGATGGGGGACACGATGACGATCATGAAAGGGATGAAGGAATGATCGAAAAGTCTGGGTTCGGCATTTGGCGCTTTACGAATCAGGCGTGGGCAAGGCTCGCGCACTGCATGCATGGGTATTGGCGTCCTACCATGGCTCTAAAAAGGGCCGTCTGTGTTCCTGGGCAACAGCGCATAAACGCTGTGCAAGTAGTGAATGCGAAATGAGTAGTATCCAAGAATCAACATCAGCAATGAAACAACACTATATTCACTTTTTCCTCAACCTATCATACACTTTCAGTCTACTCAATAGACTTGCTTCCACTCATGCTCTCCCCTGTCCATCCTCACAGATCAAGCATAGTATCTAGGCTCGTTAAAGACATGATACCTATGCCCCCTGACACCTTGGCCCTTGAACAGCTCCGGGAACCTCAACCCAGCAGGAACCTGCGACTCATGCAGAAGCTCGTTTCCGTTCTCCGGCTCGCCAACGACAAATTTACCGACCTGCATCGCATGATTAGCACACTGGTCTGACGCTAGGAAACCAGAAGGAAAACTTACCTGGAGTTCGGTATCCGTGATGGTATGTCTGGAAACACGGGCATATCCACTCCTCTTCAGGCCCTTGTAGAGAATGTACTCGCACCATCTGTCCCAGTCTGACGCGTCGATGTCCTTCATACCGCTCTTCTCACCCACGTACGTGTTGTAGTTGCCCTCACCGGGTTTGATGACGAGGTACGAGAGGAGGATGGCAGGACGCGGCGTGGCTTTCATGCGTTCAGCCAGGTATTCTGATTGTAGGCGGCGATCCTCGGGGTCCTCTTCCTGACCCGAGTGGAAGACGAAGATGTCAATCATCTCACCGTAGGCGTCGATGGTAGCTTCGATGGCCGGAGCAAGCTCGCCGACAGGCGAGGGGAGAAGATGATGGGTTGAGTTTACGATGGGGAATTTGGAGAGTAGTGCTGAGCCCCAGGTGTGCTTGTTGGGTCCTGGGCCGAAGTCGACGTACATGCCTAGATCTTCGGCGAGGAACTGCGTTGTGTCGCGATTGCCCATGATGATGCGCTGCAGATCGCTTTCAAGGAGTCCGATGACGTCGACTTCCATTTCCTTGATGAGGTCACGCATGCGGTACTCTGAAGACCACATGTCGTTGTCAAGGGAGAAGTGGATGGTCCAGATGCCAGCCGTGATGGACTTGGTCTCCGGGTGATACGGCTTGTAGTCATAAGACGGGAAGCGTAGGTAGGCGGTGGCAATGGCGATCAACTCTAGAGCACCTAGAACGTAGAGGTAGTAGGATCGTTGCCTAGTGGCAGCTGCCGTGATGACAGCCTTGCCCTTGTAGCTCTTGAGTGCTGGCGGTTGAGCGGACACACTGAAGATACCGGCACCGATCTGGAGCATCATGGCTGTCATAACCCAGTCTGTGTGCTCGCGAACAAGCGGTCCGCCGGGAACGAACGCGTACGCTACTACCCAGACGTGGAACAGAACCATGAAGTTGTACACCAAGAATCCGAGACCGAATGTGCGGCCTGGTGAGTGGCGCGCCGCATGGGCAATGAGAACAGGTGCTGCTGCCATGGTGTACATGGCGAGGACCAAGGCTCCATAGAAACCAGTCCAGTGGCTGGTGGTTGTCAAAACGGCAGCACCGATAGAGCCTATGCCGTAAAAGGCCCATGACCTTGAGAGGTTGGGCGCAAATAGTCCAATCATAAGACCAAGGCCCATGGCTAGGAGAGTCAGGGTGCCGTGGGGTACAGCCAGTGGACCCCGAACAGGGTAGCCTTCCCATACCCAAGAGATCATCGTGCTCGAATCGGAGAGGAGCGAGTGCATGGCGAACATAACACCCGCCAGGCCAAAGCTCGCAAAGACAGAAGAACCTTTGGTAGGGCCTTGAGCTGGGACATCTGCGCCAGAACTGGCGGTAGATCTGGTCGATATGAGCATCGAGATGAGAGCTACTACGAATCCAGTCCTGTTCCATCCGCCGTTTGCCTCGTGCATGATTGGCCAAATCGGGTTGTTGGTCCAAAAGGCAAACTTCGCAATGCTAGAGGCGATCAGACCGATAGCAAAAGCGGAAATGCGTGCTTCAAGGCGGTGGGGTTGAGACCGTTCGGCATAGAAGGTGGCAGACCATGCGATACATGACATTGACAGACCGAAGCCAACGGCAAAGAGTCGGTTGACGGGTGTCTTGGCAAGAAACGCGAGCAGTCCGGAGAGCGAGAGCAGGTGGAAGAACCAGACGTAGCGAGTAGCCAGATAGCGAAGGGGCTTGATGCCGAGGAAGAAGGGAGTGACGGTGCACATGACCAAGGCCTCGTAGCCAGAGATACCCATGTGCCAGAGAGGGAAGTCTAAATATGATCAGCAGACATACCGATCGCACAGGGGAATTCGAACATACACCAGACGCAGACACCGAGTGAAGTCAGCATGGACCAGAAGACAAACTACAGAGTAATTAGTCACGTCCAATGCCACCGCGCAATGTCACTTACGCCGTTGTACACGTCTGCAGCGGCATAGATGAGTCCGAACCAAGAAAAGGCACCTGAAAAGGTCGCGCTCATTTCCTTGTTTTTTCTGCTCCTGTCAGTGACGCGCAGAGCCTCGGGAAGCAGTAGTGACTTACTCCTGGATACTGTCGGATGTCGACTTGGAGCCCGCACTACAAGACATGTCTTATCAGAAAGTGTCCATAAGAAGTATAGATTCGTGATGCGTGTCTATCTATATTGGAAGACGAGGAACGTACAGGCGAGATACACCTCGAACATCCTTTATGACAACCTCCAAGTGCTGGAACTCGATCATGGTGACGGCATCGAAGCCTACATCGAGCAAGACCAGTGCCCATTCGAAGAAAGCGTAGATGGTATACGCTGTGAAGACGTTAGCGATGGTAAAACAGTGGAATTGTCAAACGTACCTCCAGCCACTCGGTGCACCTTGTGCTGGATGAAGAAGTAGATCAACGGCACCAGGGTTCCGAAGAAGCTGCCAGCAAGGACCTTTCGGTACTTGAGGGCAGTGGGGTTCTTAGGGCTCAGAGCAACACAGCCCAGGGTCCACGGTAGCGTCGCAACCAGGTATGAAATCATGAAAATGTCGTGCCAGTCGTGGTCGTCGGTAGAAGTCACATATGTCCATCCTCCACAGGTCAAGGTCCGAAAGATGCCAACGCCAGCGATGAACTTGGGGAGGGACGAGTTGGGTCGGCGGGTCAAGATGTACCAAAGGCCGACGAGGGCGAATCTTGGGCCTGTAAAGCTTAGCATATGCCTTTGTGCGCTGTGTCTCGTTCCATACCAGAGGTCAGAGCGATGAAGAGCATGAAGACCGAACGCTCCGGGTAGCGGTCGCCGATGGTCGCGGACACGGATGGAAACCATTCATCTGGGTAACCCTGGGCACGTCAATGGTTGGCTCTGGGCCTGGTGTGGTCCTCGGGGACTAACATAAAACTCATTTTGCACAATCTTGTGGTAGTGTAGCCATCTGTGGGTGTTCAGCCGCGTCGTGGGGTAGTAGAGAGTGAGAAGCGTACATTCCGACTATGAGGGCTCCGACAAAGGCACCTTGGGGATTTGTTAGTCCGTTGATATCCGTCAAGCACATAGGGACGTACAGTAGGCCATGGCGGTATGCGAATATGATATCCATTTCCCATTGAACTACATCTGGTGAGCATGCGGAGCTCTCGGGGGTGAGGCCGGACTGCGCGTACCGTAGCGACAGTGTCGCCGTCCTTGTCCTTGACCATGGTAGAGAATTCAGGTAGGTTTTCAGCAGCGCTGGACCATTGAACGAGAAAAAAAGCGGCAAAAGAGCGTCGAGAATTGATGATGCGCAGTCCAACACGCGCGTCTCCTGAAGTCCACAGGTTGCAATGGCCAGGGTTCGCGCTTCCGAGGTCCGTAGGCCAAGGCGCTACCCGCGGGAGCAACTTTAGCCTAACTTTTTTCTAGAGAAGTTAACTTTTCTATCCCAACTCTGCCAGCAGCAACACCTCGGACGCGCAAACATGGCCGGACCCAGTGACAAGGCGCGTTTCTACCTCGAGCAGTCGGCGACCGAGCTGAATGAGCTTGAGCGCAAGAAAATCTTCACACGGGTATGCTAGGCCGCCTTGCGCGCAACGCCAGCTTCGCTAACATGCCATAGGAAGAAATCAGCTCCATAGCGAAGAAGCGCTCGGATTTCGAGCACATTATCAATGCACGCGGCTCGCACCCCGAAGACTACATGCGATACATTGAGTTCGAGAAGAACGTCGACGCCCTCCGCCGCAAACGAATAAAGCGCCTGGGTGTACGGTACAAAGGCTCCGGTCAGCGCACCATCTACTTCCTCTACAACCGGGCCACGCGCAAGTTCTCGGGCGACCTGGTGCTATGGATGCAGTACATCGACTTTGCGCGCAAGGACAAGGCATACAAGCGGCTGAACGACATCTTCACATCTGTCGCTCGACTCCACCCCACCAAGCCCGACATATGGATCCTCGCGGCCAACTACTTCATGGATACGCAGGCGGACATTACGAATGCGCGAAGCTACATGCAGCGAGGACTACGCTTCTGCAAGAACTCTGAGATTATGTGGCTGGAATACGCAAAGCTGGAGACCATTTACGTTGGCAAGATCGCTGGCCGGCGCAAGATTCTCGGTCTGGACATTGATCGTACAAAGAAGCCAGGCACAGACGAGGACGGCGACGAAGACATGATTGCGCTTCCGGAAGTGACGGCAGAGGATGTAAATCCCAGCCTGAAGCAGGACGATGGTGTGGACGAGGTGGCGCTGCAGAACCTGGCGTCTGCGCCAGTGCTCACTGGTGCTATCCCACTGGCAGTCTTTGACTCCGCCATGAAGCAGTTCCAGGGCAAGCCCAAACTCGCGGAGAAGTTCTTCGACATGTTTGCCGAGTTTAGTCAGCTAGCCTGCATACCACGCATCTTGCAGCACGTGCTAGATTACCTGCAAGAGAACTCTCCCCATGCCGTTGAAACTGCCATCTGCAGGTTCCGCATGCTACTATTTAGCTGCGACCCAAGCGACCCGGAGATTGCCCTTGCATTGAGCAAGGCCCTGGACTTGATAAGCTCTACCGTTCAGCAACATCCCAAGGAGATTGCCTCCATCTCCGAAGTCGCTGTTCGACAATTGTTATCTCTGCATCGGTTACTCGCGGATGGCGATTCGTCCTTGCAGAAGGCGTCGCGTGCAGCACTCCGCAAGTATGTGCGAGCGATGGAAGACGGTCAAGGATCCGGCGATCAGGTTGCTAGATTGGGCGAATTGCTGCGGAAGCAAGGGAAGAAAGACGAAGCAAAGTTGCTATCTCAGACAGGCATCAAGTACTGGGCTGCGAATGAAACGCTCCAGAAACTTTCTGCCGTCACGGAAACGTGAAGGATCAAGGGACTTGGTCAGCAGACTAATCGTACCGAGCACTCGTGCATCAAGTATTCTTCCTATCTCTTATCGGGGGGCACGCCACACTACACCGCTACAGTCATGCTCGCACTATCGTGAGATGCACTACGATTCAACGGTAGAACCACGTCACCTGCACGTTGCGCTGAGCTATGGTGCTGTGGCAGGCCGCTTCCCCGCAGACCGCTTCACTCGTCACCCCGGCTTCGTCGCGACGTCTTCTTAGCGCTCTGCTGCTTCTTGCTCTTGAGGCGGCGCTCGTTATCTGCCTTCTGTCTGGCGTCTTATCAGCTTTCGGGCCGTCGCCTGGGCTATCGGAAGTGCGACGACATACAGTTGTTTGACACGCTGCACCTGTGCTGCCGACGTCTCGGCGGGCACAGCATCTTGTCCGGCTCGGGCAATGGCCTCGTATATGCGCCTGTAGCAGCTCTGAGCATTGTCGCTCTGCTTTCGACTGTCGTCGGCCTGGACTATTATAGCATTGGATCTAGCAGCAACGTAGCGAGAACGTCTAATTTCGCCATGTAGGGCTGCAGGGATATGGTGCAGCAACGCGTCGAGAGGCACCTTCAACGTAGCTTTAGAATTGACTCTTGGTGCCTGTTTAGTATAGCGCCGTGTTAAAAAGTGGTGTAGTGTGTCATACTTGTTTACATTTTGACCGCCCGGTCCTGATGATCTGCTGAAGCTCAATTCGCCAATGCTCTTGAAAGGGATCGTCTCTGCATGGAGCTCCGCGAGCCAGGCGCGTGCAGCCTGGACCTCGTCGCCAGTGGCACTGCTGCTATGCCCTCGACAGTATATTATCCGGTGCACCGCTGGCAACGGCGCAGGAGGGAAGACTAGCGTGTGAAAAATGAAGCGTCGCAGCATCACGGTTGCGCAAATTGCTCACGTTGGCCTTTGTCAAGATGAGATCATGTCGCAACCGCAATAGCTCGAGCTAGGATCAACATAACCATTTTAACCATAAAACGGACGCTAGAAGCAGACTAAAACGCATCACGTGGACGAAGCTTAGCCAGGCAAGTTCTCGATTCCAGGCTCCTCGGAGTCGATGCGGCGCCGAATCCCAACATCTGCTGCACTACATCTCTCTTCTTGATATTTCCTGACTGCACCACCGTCTCTTGCCACTTTTACGGGGCCCGCTCTCGCTTCTGTGCCTGTGGCTGTCGCGTCTGCCTCATCCATCACATATACCTAGGTAGCATCTAGCCAGCCCCGCCATCGCTCGTCTTCTCCTAGTGCTCCACCTGCAGCTCTCCAGCCCTTGTCGCGACGGTGCGTTTTCGTAGATGCTTTGAGTTGACTCCCTTCACCACGCCTTGTCTGCCAGCTCTGCGCTCTGGCTCCGCAGTCTACATGAGACCCAATTCGAGTCCGCCGCAACAAGCTGAGCACATACGGCACCAGTCGCTGACGCCCGAGAGCCCGCGCCCGCAAAACGTCCCGTCGCCCGCCAACATCCCCATCCTCGTAGAGCACATGGATGCGAACTATAGTCATGTCTCCCACAGCAACGACTCTGCCGCGCCCGCCCACAGCTCCCACGCGAACGCGAACACGTCGACGCCGTACTTCGCCGACCCATCTTCGACCGCCAGCTTCCAGAGTATAGGCGCACAAGGGGCAGGGCACGATGCGCCGGGGGCGTTCGCGCAGTCGGCTGCGTTTGGCGGCGGCATGGGTACGCAGCCGCATGATACCTCTTCAATGCAGAATTTCACCGCACAGCTCCAGTCGCGCGCTGCGTCGGCCACTGACGCGCCGCCGCCGGCTGCTCAAGGTCTTTCTTCTGCGTACCCATACCCCCATGACCATGCCTATGCTGCTCAGCAAGCGCCCGCCCAGTCTGCCCAAGGCGCTCACTACCAGACTGACGCGCACACTGGCTCCAATGTTGACGTACAAGCCCTCTTGGACTCTCTGACACCTGCTGCCAACAATGCGCCTGCAGCCCAATATGCCTCTGCACAAATGTCCTCCCAGTCGCCGCAGACACAGCACCATGCCTCGTCGTTGCCCTCGGCCACCAGTCTTCCTGCTCGACCACCCACCCAAGAACAGCCCGCTACGCACCCCAACTATAACCCCAGCGATGACATCAGATCCTATCATCCACAGAGTCAGCAAGCTCCCATTGCCCAGCAGAGAGGCAATGGCTCCCTTCAGCCCTTGAACGTGCAGAGTCAGGACTTTTCGACGCCCAGTCAGGCTCAGCAGCAGCCGGGTGATCGTAGCGAAACGCCCGACGATGAGGATCAGCGGTGGCCGCCCGAGGTCAACAGGAGATACGAGGAGTTTTTGGATCAGGAGAGGAAGTTTGTGACGGAGGGGCAATGGGACCAGTTTCCCATGGGTTCGCGTCTCTTCATTGGTGAGCTGAGACTGTTTTTGCACCAAGGATGCGCCTAACCGATTCCTAGGAAACCTCCCCACCGAAAAAGTTACCAAGCGAGACATCTTCCACCGTTTCTACCGCCACGGCAGGCTTGCGCAGATATCAATCAAACAGGCATATGGCTTTGTCCAGTTCTTGGACTCGGAATCATGTCGCAGAGCTCTGGATGCCGAGCAAGGCCAGGCAGTGCGCGGCAGGAAGATGCGTATGTCGTGTCAATCACTTTGCTGCTGGACAGTCGACTAACTATGACAGACCTTGAGATCTCCAAGCCACAGCGCAACACGAAGAAGATCGAGCCGCCGAATCCAACACCGCGTCGACGTTCACGTTCGCCAGATTACAATCGGGGCGGTACAGGACCGGCACCTAGGGACAATCGTTATGTAGGGCATCCAAACTCCATGTCCCCTAGAGATCGACGTTTTCGTGATCGGGACGATTATCGGCCCATGCGATCGCCATCGCCGCGAGCCCCGCCTCGGGGTGTACGATCACGGGACAGAAGCCGAGACAGGTTTGATACGCGATACCGTAGCCGGTCCAGAACACCACCGCGCAGGCACAGAAGCCCGTCCCCGCGTCGCGACTACACAGAGGATGGATTGGACCTGCGGCGCCGATTGCCCCACGAGGTGCCTGACATCCAGATTCTTGTGCTCAACGAAGGTCTCCCTCGGTAAGTTCGGAACCAACAGCTAATATATCAAGGTCGCTAATCCAGTGGTAGTGACTTCATCCGCTACGTCGAGGATACTTTCCGCTCGCAAAATCTCCGTAGTAATGTCCTGATATTGAGTGGTCGGTTCCCTGAACCAGCTGTAGTTCGAAGACAGATCCTTGAGGGAGTTTTGGCCATTGTGAGGCTTGATACTACTGGCCTTACCAAGGGCAAAGTTAGCGTCCAGATATTCGACCGACGTGGCGGTGCAAACAACGTCCAGTTCAACGGTACGATTGCTTATGATACACATGAGCGATTACTGACTCATGTGCCCAGAATATGCCGATCTTGACCCCACGACCGCTGGCCTCCTCGTCAACAATGCCAAACAAAGCCAATCTCGCCCGGTCCTGCCACCATCATCCTCGTACGGCTTCGCTCAGACCCTACCCCCGCACTTTCCCCAGCCAAACAACCCCTTCCCATCCCTGCCGACCAGTCAGCCGAACATCTCTAACCTCATTGCATCTCTCGACGGTGCGAGCTTGTCTCAGCTCCTCGGCGCAATGTCCGGCAATAATATGCCTCAGAATACGCAACCCGCGCCGAACCAGGGATTGAACGCTGATCTTGCACGCCTGCTAGCTCAAGTGCCTAGCCCTGCGCAAACACCTGGCTTCAGTGCTCAGTCCCAGCCGCATCTCGCACAGCTGGGCAACCAGTTCCCCGCGCTTGCTTCTCTTTTCGCCAACCAGAGCCAGGCTGTCGCTCCACCAGTGCAGACACCTACTCAGGCTGGCCCCGCGCCGGATATGAATGAGATCATGGCCCAATTGGCTCAGTATCAACGCTAAAAGTCCCATTCCGTACTTCCAGAAGCCTAGACAGCAAACACGGCTGTCTCGAACCTTTCCAACAGATAAACTCGACATTACTACAATAGCCCAAATCCTGTATACCGCTCCCTCCACACATGTATCGACATGGTGTATATCCAACCGATCAAACCCGACTGCGCCCTTTACCCAGCCCTTGCAAATAGCCATGTATCTCCCACGAGCCAGCTCATCGAACAGACAATAACCCATTCTGGACCCGTGCTATCTGCTTTGGCCATAACTGGTGAAGCTCCAAGGCCCTCGCATCCTCATTCCACGCAACAACACCATGGAGTACCCTTGCGACAATTCCCTGGCGACTTGTTCATTACCCACGTACCCACGCGACTCACGATTCTAGCGGCCTACCCCCTGGTTGACGTGCGAATTCAAACCTGGACGAGGCCCTGGTCCGATTCTTAACTGCTTTTCATGTTTTGCCCCTTTTCGTTTTCATTTCTCTGGCCTGCCAATGCCCGGCTCCTGTATCTTCTACGAGTTTCCTTGGTCCCAACGTATGGTGTTTCCTTTCCTTATCTGATCCGATTTAGCGTTCTGCGAGGTGTTACTTGGCGCACAATATGGATGCTACGCATATGTGCAAGGGGTTTTCATAGGTCATCGAGGGCTGGTTGGCGCTTTGAAGCTTTTTTACGTTATTGTAGATATGGGTACGATCAGGCGCAGCCAGTGGTGGAATTGACGAAGGAATGCGGCGTCCATTACGGCATAGACAGGACATTTCAAATCATTCAGACTTCGCTGTATTGCTCAACATCATAGCGACGACTTTAAATGTACATCATGCAATCACGACGGTCATTAGTCTACCAAGTCGAGTTAGTGCAAACACGAGGTGTGATGACATCGTGTCGCGTGTCGGAGGCGCGCGGACAGGGATCAGCTTGACCCAGTTTTTTCTTTCCCTACGAATGAGAAACGTCACCACTAGAGCCCGCCCTCGCTCAGCGGCTACATGTACTTCAGCATTCGCAGAGTCACGTCCCTAACCACCCGATCAGGAAACCACTGCTGATGTTTTCTACCTTGGTCGTACCGGCGCGATTGAATGGTGTCGTCGCAAACCTACAATGCCGCCGCGGTGTACACATGCGTGCCATTGCGCCGGCATTAGGAAGTCAGACGTGGCATGATGGATCGAGGAATACCACACAGAGGAGGCTTCTTGCAAAACGATGGGAGACACAAAGGAGGGCGTATGCCTCATCCACAGCGGCGCCGGTGAAAACCACAGGATATGGCGGGGCCATGCCACCTTCTCCCGCCAAAGCAACCAAGATGACTACACCCACGAAGACAACTTCTCTCAGAAAGCCTCAGTCCCCCCTCTCGTTCCCGCGCAAACACCCACCTCGAAAGCCACAACCGTCCCCACACTGCGAGCGAAAGAGAAACTGAACCCACCACCGTTCACATACGCCCCCGATATATCTGTTCCCGCACGAACACCAGACCAGAACGTCGTCAAGTGGCTATATCGCGCCGGTCGCGCATACCTTACTTTCTACAAAACGGGCATATCGCATGTCCGGCAAACATCCAAACTTGCAAAGACGCTGCGCCAAAAGGCCGCTCAAACACCCAACAAAGATATAACCGAGGTTTTGTCAAGGGCGGAATGGCAGATTGTGCAAAGGAGTAGGCTAGACACTTTGAGATTGCCAGCGTTCGGCTTCTTGGTCTTGTTACTTGGAGAGTGGTTACCACTCGTTGTTATGTACATCACGCCCGTCATTCCAGAGGCATGCCGGATACCCCAGCAGGTCCAGCGCGCGTTACGCAAGCGCGAAGACAAGCGACAAGACCGGCTAAGAAGGATTGCTCTAGACGCCATGCGACTGATGAGCAGGGATCGACCACCTATTGGCAGCACATCTTCTGACACGCCTTCTGTAACCCTGCCAAAGAGTGGACAAGTCATGCCAGTCACCACGAAGAACTGGAACGAGATGACACTCTTTGAACTCTCGCTTACCGCCGCACAACTCGACTGCTATCCGGCGCTGTTCGACTGGCTTCCTGTCACAGCCCCCAAGTTCCTGTTGCAGCGCAATGTCAGGAAGAAGTTGGAGTATTTGAAGACGGACGACAAGTTGATTGAACGCGATGGCGGATGGGCAGCTCTCGGGAAGCAAGAGCTCGAGAGAGCTTGTGTAGATAGAGGTCTGCCTGTGCTTGGGAAGAGGGAGGATGAACTGAGGAAGGCGCTGGCGAAACTCGAGGGCTGAGACGGCGCATGAGGGCGACAGCCAATTCGCTTACGACTATAGATTACTATCAAGGCAGTTAGACGATGTTCAGGAGCTGCTATAGACGTGTAGATATATTTGTTTGTCGGCGGTATGAACACGAGAGATACCCAAATATTATGATTCTCATGACCAAGTCGATAAATGCACTTGCCCTTTAAACATGTTTGAAGCATAATCTAGGCACAGGCATACGTGAGAGAAGACTCGCAAAGTACAGAGCTGGCTTCCTCAGTTGTTGCGTACTCTGCTCGGTTTGAAATTGTCTATGCAAATGCATGAATCGAAACAAACTTAAGAGATGCGTTGGCGCGGGATCGCACAACGGCTATCGCGATTTCGACACGCGACAGCTTCCAGTCAAGGCAATCTCAAGGACATTAAATCTGCGACGAAAGCAAAGTGACGGGACGTATGTGCGAAGCAGAAATGGCAAAAAAGCGCCCTTCACTCGCGCAGCGTCGGGAGCGACAGTGTGACGTTACCAGATCGGGCAAGTTGAGCAAAGCGTTGTCGATTACGGCACTATTGGAGGGGCAGAGGGCAGAAGGGCAAACGAGGAAGCAAACGAGGGGCATGGCGGGGTGTCTTGAGGTGGGATGTTGAAGGAGGGGTGGAGGGGCAAACATTTTTTTCTGTTGAGATGGGTGAGGAGTGAGGGGCACGACGCGGATGAGTTTGCTTTCACCAACACTAATTTTCTAAGGACGACGATCTGCTGGGTAAACAACACGAATTGGTATGGTAAGAGGAGGATGGAGATGCGTGGGACTTGCGGAGTTTGTCAACGGGGGGATAGGTAAGACGGGTTTGTGGTATCTGCTACTAATTCTTCTCTGGATTCTGATAGCAACGTTTAATGTTACCCGTCGAAACATTCATCTTTGCCATATGCAATTGGTTCGGATCTATAAGAGACTTTGCGGACTTTTAGCTAATGATACAATCCAGTGCAAGAGACCTGGTTATTTGCGTTGAATGTCCCCGAAGAGAAATCATTGGATATGTGTGCTTTGCATATTCCATGGCAGACGACCTCACAGTTGGCACCTCTGCGAGTTATGCCACAACAGCAGTGGTCAGGACCGTGTGTTGACCTTCCTCACGATCCAGTCTTTACGATACACCATGTCGCCTCTTCTGCAACCGGAGATCTGATCGCATGTCATGCTTCTGAGCGACGCGGCTATGCTCCAATACTACCTTCCCCGCTTGAATATATATTCTTGTTGGTATAAAGCTGGATTCATGGGAATGCAGCCTTTTCGTAGGGGCACAGAAGATTTGAACACTCGGGGATGCCATAGAAGCCTCCAATGAGTCGCGGTCTCGGATGTCTATGATCATCTTTGCACCCGCCTAGTAAGTCCAAATATATGGGTCGGAAGATTCCACAGAACCTGACATGGTACGCAAAATGAACCGTGAAGTCGTCGTGTAGAGAGTGGTTCGCTGCGATGAAGAATAGATGATATCGCTCTGCCAGTACCAGATCCTAAAACAAGGTGAAGATGGAAGTAGTACAGAGACACAGATCGTGTCTCGAAAGATGGCATGATGGCCGATCTAGTGACAGTGATCAATTGACTAACAGGTTCCAGAGGCGGCTAGTGTTTGCACAGCCATTCTAAGCTCACCAAGGTCTTGACGTTTGCTATACATTTGTAATTGGAGTCACTTGACACCTTGGCGAGATAGAGTTACTTGAGTGACGATACAGTGTTCCTTGATGCGTTGCACAATGTCGAGAGATGGATGTGTGTGAAGACTGTGTTGGACAATCAATCGAGCTTCTGAATGCGTGACCAACATTTTGGCTGTGATCAGCTGGAGTTGAAAGCACAGTCGGTGGCGTGTCGCATAGACGAAACCTAAGAAACAAAGGTGCCTTTCGAGAGAACAGAGGAGGTGTGGTTGCCGCTGGACTGCCGCGAGAAATCTACAACCAATGGGCGGTGTTGGAGAGGCGATTACTTTCTGCCTCGGCATCTTCCCCAGACGTTGTCTGCAGGCAGGCGCTCTTGCTCCACACAAAGACGGAGCGCTGCGCGGAGAGGACTAGCTCATCTCGTAGACCGAGGCCAAACGTCTAGAGACCCATAATGTAGTCGCGTCTGCTGTTCGCTCTCCTTTCGTCCCACGGTCCCTTAAACGTACTCTTGCCACGCATCAGGTCGTACCTTCCTCCTCCACCCATCGCCTCCTTCCCACACACCGTCGACATGCCTCACGCCTCCCTCACCCGCGATTCGGTCGCATCGCACAACACGCCCGAAGACCTCTGGTGCATCATCGACCACAAAGTCTACGACCTCAGCGAGTTCGTCGATGCCCACCCTGGTGGCTCCGTCGTGCTCGAGCAAGTAGCCGGCCAAGATGCGACGACCGCGTTTTACAACCTACACCGACAGGAGGTCCTTGACAAGTACCAGGAGCTGTGCATCGGCACCATCGAGGGCGAGAAGTCCGAGGTGATTGTCGGAAAGCCTGGCGACCTGAGCCCAGTGCCATACGCGGAGCCATTGTGGCTGCGACCGCAGTTCAAGAGTCCCTACTTCAAGGAGAGCCATCGCGCGCTGCAGAAGGAGGTCCGCAAGTTCGTCGATACACACGTCACGCCCGAGGCGCAACAAAAGGAGAAGGATGGTACATACATCAGCCAGGAGTTGATCGACAAGATGGCCGCGAACGACATGCTAGCTATGCGCCTTGGGCCTGGAAAGCATCTTCACGGCAAGAACCTGATGGGTGTCGTCAAGGGCGAGGAGTTTGACTACCTCCATGACCTTATCCAGGCACAGGAAGGTGTACGCGCAAACGCGCGTGGCTTCCAAGACGGCAACATGGCAGGTATGACCATCAGCTTGACAGCCGTCTTGCAGTGGATGCCTGAATCTGAGCTGAAGACGCGCGTGGTCAACGAGGTGCTGAGCGGCAAGAAGAAGATGTGCCTAGCCATCACCGAGGCTTTTGCGGGATCAGATGTCGCCGGCATCAGGACCACTGCGACCTTGACACCAGACGGCAAGCACTACATCGTTCGAGGCACAAAGAAGTGGATCACCAACGGAATGTTCAGCGACTACTTCGTTACAGGCTGCAAGACGGACAAGGGCTTCTCCGTCCTGCTCATCGAGCGTGACGAGGCCGTCGAGACCAAGCTGATCAAGACGAGCTACTCCACCACCGCCGGCACCGCATACGTAGAGTTCAACGATGTGAAGGTACCAGTGGACCACCTGTTGGGCAAAGAGCACCAGGGCTTCGTTGTCATCATGTCCAACTTCAATCACGAGAGGTTTATGATGGCATGCGCCGTCATCCGACAATCGCGAACCGTTGTCGAGGAGTGTCTCAAGTGGTGCAACCAGCGGATTGTCTTTGGGAAGAAGCTGATAGAGCAACCCACCATCCGTCAGAAGTGAGTATTGCCTCCAAAGATAGCCTTCTTGTCCCACTGGTACATCCGTCGGATGAGACCCCGTCACATTACCTTGCTTGCACCGCAGGAGCTGAATCCGATTGAACGCTACTGACAATACTCCAGGCTTGCAAAGATGATCTCACACGTCGAGGCCAACCAAGCATGGCTAGAATCTATTGCCTACCAGATGACGCACATGTCGTACGCTCAGCAATCGAAGCTGCTTGGTGGACCTATTGGCCTACTCAAGTCATTCGCCACCCGCTCTGCACACGAAATCGCAGATGAAGCCGTCAACATCTTCGGAGGTCGCGGAATTACGCAAGGTGGTATGGGCCGGGTGATTGAGCAGTTCCACCGCACATATAAGTTTGATGCTATTCTTGGAGGTACCGAGGAGATTCTCAGCGACTTGGGTGTACGGCAGGCGATGAAGGACTTCCCCAAGAGTATGTTGTAGGCTCGTGTTGGAAGCGGTGTATACTAGTAGCGTATTGATATTTGGTGCATGGCGGCACTTGCCACGCCGAACAACCCAAGATGCACAAGTACAAACTCTAAAGCGGCGCAGAAGATTGTGAAACGCTTCTAGAAGCAACGGCGATGCTGTGACATGACGGAAATAACGTATGCGCGGGGAAAGCCCATGTTTGGACGTGTTTGACCATGCAGGCGTACAAATCGATGGACGTGTCTCCAGTACCAAGGTTCTGACCGCGCACCGATCCAAGCGGTAGTGGCACAGACGATAGATGATGGGCGGATGATTGCATAACTCCAGATGATCAACGGCAGGGCCGCAGCGAGTCGGAGCATTAGGCCTTGTGCATATGTCGTAACGAAGCATGTCCAATCGACGCGAGGCGGCGATACTCAACACCAAGGATGCGTGTCGTTGTTTTATGACGATAGTCGTGCAGCCTCACACAGCGCATAGCCGTCATGCACGCGCCACGACGAGGGCCAATCGTAAACACTGGCGCAGGCCGGGCTCAACGCCTCATCCGGCACAGCAGAATGCCAGGCGCTGTCGTCCACGTGTTACACGTCTGAAAGCGGCAACAAGCGAGGGTATGCATGAGACGCGATCTAGATTGCATTTCACAAGTGGCAGACAGACCGGACGCGCGATACGTGTCACATGCAAAAGGCAACTCGGGCGAGGGATGGGGTGCGAGTATATGCACGACCGCATCGGACACGTGAGACGTCGTTGTTCTGGCAAAGGCAAGACTGGCGACAAAAGCAGCGACGGGTTGATGGGTGAGACTGTGAGAGGTTGGTGATGGTGATGGATATGGAATACCATGGAAGAAGTTCGGCTAGTCGCCGCCGCCCTGCATCGGGGAGGCAAAGACGCGCTGCGAACGCATATCGGCTCGAGTCGTGTGCAGTTTAGCAGTGCCATCGGTCGGACCAAGCCGTGGAGGCACCAGTGACAGCATGGGGCTCCATCTGCCTTTCTTTAAGAAGCGGTCTGCGTCACCTTCACCTACTTGATCTCCATCTGTCACCCACACCTGCTGCTGCTGAACTATTCACTCTTAGTCATACC